TGCTTGGGATCCTCTCTCTCCCTTTCTCTCTGCCCCTACCCCATGCACATGCACATACGCTCTCTCTCTCAAAATATAAATAAATAAATAAATAAATAAATAAATAAATAAATAAATAAAATAACATAGCCTTGTAAGACTATGAAGTGTCATGTTAGTTTGGTGGTGTTGGTGGGGATGGAGTTAAGTAATTTGGCCAAAGTCACTCAGCTAGGATCTGAACTTGTGTCTGTGTAGCTCTAAACTCCAATTGCCTTTTATTATACCATGCAGCTTCACAATCTTATAGTGGAAATAGATGAATAAACATACTAGTAACAATATCTGCCTTGATCCTGGTGTGAAATAAGGTAAAATCACAACACACCAGGGAAAAAAAACTAGAAAAATCACAATACATCAAGTTATACTTTAGGATCAATGTAAATAAAACACATAGGAAGTCTAAAAAAAGTAGTTATCTCTCCCCCAAGAATTGGGGGGATTTTCAAGAGCATGTGAGTCTTAAAGGATAAGTAAAAACATTTCATCTATAGAGGATATATATGAAGGACAAAGAGCCTACTCCAAGAGTTTGGGAGAATAAGTAAAAAAAGCATGACCTCCTCAGAGAATGCTAAGTTCAGAGAGAGAAGGGGCAGGAATGAGGCTGAGTTGAAACTGGAATGTGAAGACCTCTGGTGCCAAGTGGAAACACCACCCCGGTCATAACCTTACCTCAGAAGTCTTGAGTGAGATCTCCACACACATCGATCTCCCAACGGCAGGCAGCTGTCCTGCCAGGGCCTTTTTTGCTTCATGTGTAACCTCTGGGATATCTTTGATTGCTAAATTGAACTAGAAAACAAAAGAGACTGTGTGAAACACTCACAAAAAACATTATGGAAACATAAAGCAGTAAGATGGTTATGTTGGGTAATGCATGCATTGCTTTGAGTGATTGAAGCCATTCATTCATTTCTCTCTTGCCCAGAAGAGACATCCTACATCAAAGCCCTAAAACTCAGGTTGAGAGAGCTAATGACTTATTACAAAGATTAGTTAACAAGATATTTTTGTTCTCTGAAGTCTAAGCTTTTCACCTACTGCAGCAGAAAGCCGAGAACCAAACAAACCTAGGACTAACATCTGACCTAGTGAATGGATCAAATGGAATTACTGTTTTAATGTTATGATTTAGTAATACTATAGATAGTATTCATTCCTACTGCATTAGGATTCCTTGTAACAGACACCATAGTATATCCCTTAACAAAAAACGGGAATTTTACCCAGTCTGAACCCGTCGGGGATGAAGATGAACGAGTACAAATCTTCTCACCAAGTCGAGCCTGGACAATCACTTGGACAGTCTGAAAAAAAGCAAACAAACAACCAAATCAAAGATAAAGAGTCTTAAATCGATTTGGCTCACAATCAGGGTTCACATCCTCTGAATGCAGGGTTAAAAAGATGCCAATGACCATAACTATACTGTAGGAAAAGGGTAGGATTTTAAAATTCAAGGACAGATAGAAAAAACACTATACAAAACTAATACTGCAAATATTCTTGAGGGCATAATGTCAACCAACTAGAGGAATTTTAGTTCAAGGCTTGGGATCTATAATATTCTCACATGGCAGAAGGAAATTTGCACATGGTGTCTCTGACTTTCATAAAGAAACAAGTCCAACCATAGGTTTAAATATTCACTGCCGTACACTTATGTAATCATAGTAGATTTAAACCAAGGATTCCACAATTATTCATATCATTTGGCCCATATGGCAAAAGTCTCCCAACTAATTTTACAACCAGAATCTACAGCATGGATTGTTTTTTTACATGGTAATCGTGAGAAGAAGCGATAAAGGTGGAAATGATTTTTAGATTTAGGAAAATATAACTTCTAAAGCATTCAAAATTCAGTTTTAATTCCTCATTTATCCAGAAGGAAATAATAAGTGGAAGTTAGACATTTCAGAGTTAGTTGACGGTTTGGGAAAGATGCCCAAAATGATGTCCATTCCAGTCCACAGTCTTTGTTCCCAACCCAAGGGAACATACTGTGCCAATAACCTGGCATAATAGTTTGACATTTCTGCAAACAGCCTTACAAAAAAAAAATTTTTTTGAACAAGTAGCTGTGGAAAATTGGAAGTTACTTTTTAGTTACACCCCCAGTACCGCCCCCAAACTTCACAGTTTGGTTTACAACAGACAGAAGTATCCCTTAAAATGGGCAAGCTGCAAGCTGTTATTCTATATTTCCAAAAAGGGAGAAGCACGGAAGTTATTTCTAACAGTTCTGAGCTCAAGAGAATAGACATATTACCTTGAGGGCAAAAAATTTAATAAACTTGTCCAGGTCCTTTCTGTCCTGGGAATTGAGATCAGTTTCCATTGCCTATAGGAATCTAAAACAGAAAAAAAAAGTGTTGAAAAATGTGACTAATATCTTTTAAATTCAAAGCATACAGAGATGGTATTGTCTAGCTGTGCAAACAATCATGTGGGAGGGGGAAAAAAAATCTCCCCCTAAGATACCAAAGTAAAAAGTATTAAGATACTATCTTGTGAGGAAAATAAATTCCACACAAAGAAATAAATCTAGAGACCTACACAATGAATAAGACAAGCCATTTTACCTGCATCTGAAACTTTAAGCTTGAAATATAACTTATTGATTAAAAAATTCTAGTACCCAGCATACTGAAGATGTTTATTTAATTTATTAAATATATTTTTAATTTTTAGAGAGAGAGAGGAGGGGAGAGGGGCGGGGAGGGGAAGAGAGAAAAAGAGAGAGAGGGAGGGAGGGAAAAAGGAAGGGAGAGAGAGAATTTTAAGCAGGTTCCATGCTCAGTGTGGAATCCAACACGGACCTCAATCCCATGACCCTGGGATCATGAGCTGGGCTGAAATCAAGAGTCAGATGTTCAACTGACTGAGCCACCCAGATGC